AGGCTTCCTGCTCCCCACTATCTCTGAGTCCTCCGGAAGACAGTGGTTCTCCCAGTAAGTCTCCAATCACGCTTCTCACCCAACACAAAAGAATTTGAAGGGCTGAGAATGACTTTTCAGTTGCTTTTGGGCTACATTTTACACCAAAGAGATGTTCCTTACTGAGATTTCAGAAGAGTCATAGCCAAGTGAATTGAGCCTGGACACTTGTCACTAGTTCAGATGACCTAACCTTCTCTCCCAAGGAGCCACTTAGGAGCTTGACTTCTTCCTAAAGCTTCTGAAGCAGCCTCCAGATCTCCTGAACTCTGACGTCCTCCTTAAATGACCACCAAGAGCAGTTCCATGCTCCAGCTGGCGTCTAGCTTGCTGCAAGCTAACCCCTATCCCAGCCCCTGCCCTGACCAGCCTGCCTGGCTCCCTGTAAGGCTATGCTCACCAGCTCCCCAGCTGTGCCCTGGGCTGGTGGCCGGGATCCTGGGCTGGGAGCCCAGCAGATATCTCACTTCCTCATAGTTCTGCTACTGCTGCGGCAGCTGCCAGGACTCCAAACTCCCTATATGTCTCTGTGCCAAAGACGGCTTTGGCTCAATCCAGCCTGGCATTGTTCATGCTTAGATAACGACCATGAGCATGTTTGCTTTCTCCACCTGCGAAGAAAAATCTGGCCCATGGCTGCCACCGAGGACTCGGGTGGGAGCACCTGGGCTGGCTGAGGCCACGACTCGCCATGTGGTTTAGATGGCTCTGCCAGGCCATCCCGGGAGCTCATCATATGCTAGATGCTCATTTTGGATCCAAAATGGGAAAAAGTTTCCCACATTTTTCAGACAAATACCAGCAACTGCTTTTTTTTCTTTCTGTCACCTAATTTTTATATCTATTTGTTACTTTTCAACTAAACCAAAACCATAGCTGGATTCTTATGACTTCCAAAAGTTAGCCCTTTTTGGATGACAGCCTCTAATTATATTTTAGATGTACGGTGAGGAGAATTGTCGTCTCTGTTCAGTTACTTTGAAAAAGGAGACGCGAGGCTGGCCTTGCTAACGCAGGTAGTGGGAGGAGGCTGGCCCTCTGCAGAGTCCATTCTGTGTGCCAAGCCAAGAGCTATTTTCAATCTGCTTCAGCTTTAAGTTGCATCAAATCCCTGGGCCCCCGCTTGCCTGTCTGCCTCCCCTGTGGCTGGCAAGCAGAGTACCAGCAGGAAGATTGTGGATGTTGTGGGGCATTTCTGTGTGTGAGCTTTCCTTTAGGGCTGGCAGGTTGAAGTGATCACATTTCAGGTCAGTATTTTGAGAAAGAAGAAATGAGCCAGTTGGTTTCTTTAAGAGAAGGGCAAATAATACATGGAGGAAGAAGAATGTAAAGGGAGTAAAGGTGAAGGATAATAAAGAAAAATGTCTCACACTTAATGAGTATTGACCCTATACCAGCCACTCTGCAGGGTGTTTAGCAAGGACCATCTCATTTGATCCTGAGATGTAGGAACTCTGTTGCCTATTTGACACAGAAATACTGAGCAATTTGCCAGGTGGTCTCTTAGTTGGCAAGTGGCAGAGATGGGATTCCAAGCCCACATTGTTCACCACGCAACACTGCGGCAAGGTTGACCACTTGGCAGCCCAGGTCTTGTTCAAACATTACTAAGCACATGAGCATAAACGTCAAGAGTTGGAAGACATTTGGGGAAGCAACTAGTCCAACTCCTTTACTAGACAGATGAGAAAAGAGACTCAAAGAGAAAAAATGGTGATACATGGTCAAGAAAATGCTTTTATTAGAGTTAAACTGAGACCGACACCCTCGTTGCCTGAATCCTTATTGAACAGTTTTGGGATAACTGGCTCTAGGATCTCATAGCTGTTGAACTTGTTTATTTTCTTTCTGGAAACAACCCCCTCCCCATTTTCCCTGGGGTAGACTTCGATTGCAGAGTAATATTTCTTAGATTGGCTCAAATAGCTTGTGTCTGGGAGCTGTATATCATCCCTACCTCTGCGATAAGAGGAAATTGGAAACTGGGACTTGAGACTTTCCCTTTATTATTAGGTGAAAAGAACTTGCTGACTCATCACATCGGCCCACCGTGCTGAAGCTTTTCTTTCCGAGATCACCACTGGCTTCACGATTACTAAGCTCAAAGAGCGTTTGTCTAGCCTTATATTACTCGTGGTGCTTGATATTGTTTGCCATTACCTTTTGCATAAAAACCTCTCCTCCTGCGACATTACCTCTCCTCATTCCCTTCACTCACTCTTTCTACTCCACTCCTCTGCATTCTTCCTCCTGAGATGTTTTCCTGCCTACCTCTCACATTTATTGTTCTGTAGAATTCTGATCTCAGTCCCCTGCTAGTCTCTTTTTGTAAGTTATTCTCAGGTCACCTTCTTTAAAGGACTTGACGTTCCTTCCAATACCATAATAAATGGTACTCCTCCGTCCCTTTTCATTTTACTAGATCTCCAAAATTCCTGGATACAACTATAGTCAGTGAACAGAAAGGGATCAAACCAAAGTTGGACATCTACATCCAAGGGCAAGGTTGGAAAAATGAGAAACCAAGTCAAGTAGGGTCACATGTTAAAATGAAAACCAAGTAGAATCCACCTAGCATGTTAGCAGAATTTAGGAAGAAACTTGTCCTAGGTAATCTGGGCAAGACACGTTGATGAAGTAAAACTTATTCATTGTGTTCAGCAGGAAACCAGTGGACTCGGTATTTAGCCAATAAAAAATAATATGAAATTTTATGATTTATAATTTGAGGGAAGGATTTGGAAAGGGCTGGGGTCCAGTTGCAAATAAGTAGTATTTTATTTCAAAATCTGTGACTGTTTCATAGCCCCCGGCTGGTCCACAAGTCAGTCTCACTTTCAAAGCTCCTTAACCTTTGTTTTGTCGTTTGCCCACACTACAGAAAAGGAACAGACACCTAATTTTACTTTTCTTCTTATGAATTCCTAATGCTCTTCAAGCATCCCAACACAACTGTGAAAGACACTGTGGGGACTCTGGCCCTTGTTAAAATTAACTGACCCTCACCAAGGCTCTACCGATAAAAGCCCAGGTGGTTGGTGTTATGAGTATGAACAGAAACCAGGTCACATCTTGTATTGGTCCAAGACTTCCACAGCTGACTGAATTGATCAATTAACACCTGGAAACCCAGGGAAAGGGTCTAAGGTGATACACAGCCACCAAGTCCTTGAAACACACTTTCTTTTCATTCAACAAGTAAAAGTTGCGAGTTTCCTAACATATTATTGTAATATTCTGGGAAACAAAATGTAAAATTCAAATAGTTATAGAAACAGGCATTTATCTGAAGTAATTTTAGGCTCATCTGGAATAGGTCAGTAGCAAAAATATTTGTTAAAAAGATTAGATTTTGTGGCTGGACCCACTTCTTACACAGGTTGTTGAACTTTCTGCTCTGTTTAAGTTTCTTCTCAGTGCTGATCTCTTTCCCATGTAGAGGGATATCATGTCAGAAGAAGTCTAAATCTTTCTCTGCCTAGAACCTCAAGGATGGGTAGAGAAAGGAATGGATTTCTAGGTATCATTTCAAGCAAATCTTAACTTAGCCCATCCTTTCCCTCCCTCCCTCCTTCCCTTTCGACATCTCTCCTTTCCTCTGCTCATCACTTAAAGCAAA